GGCCTGCAGCAGCCTCACCCCTCCACACCGGGCGGGGCTGGTGGAGCGCCCCGCTGGGAATAGCTGTCCACTAGGCTGGCCATTCTCCTGGCTGGTCCAACCGCTTCTTCAGTGTTTCTCACCAGAAAATTCAAACAAAAACATTAAAAAAATGTTAACCCTCCTCCCTCACATCACCACTGGTTTCATTTCTCCACCAGCAGCACCTTCTAGCTTTACCCACAGGGACACAGTTGTGTCTCCTGTAGCCATCCTGTGGTCTGCTACTTTCATTCTCACCTGTGCTTAATCCCACGTTCATGCTGCTACACACTCCTCATGCTGACCTGGGATAGTACTGAGTTAGCATTCCCTTGTATTAAAAAAGAGAAAGAAAGAAAAAACCCAACCTCACTGCCCTTGAGTTGGCTCTGACTCACAGCGACCCTACAGGACAGGTTAGGACTGCCCTTAACTGTGGGCTCTAACGACTGTTTCTGAGACTGTAACTCTTTATGGGACTACAAAGCCTCAAATTTCTCCTGGGGAGTAGCTGGTGGTTTTGAACTGCTGCTGACCTACCAGTTAGCGGCCCAAAGCATAACCATTATGACACCAGGGAGCCTCTACCATTATAAATCTCACGGCCATTGTGTTAGGCAGGGTTCTCTAGAGAAACAAAACCAGGACACTTTAGATAGATGATAGATAGATAGATAGATAGATAGATAGATAGATAGATAGATAGATAGATAGATAGATAAGTTTATACAGCAAGAAGGAATGTAACAGCTAATTAGTCCACATAGCAGTACAGAGGGCTCAGTTTTAACAGTTAATATACTGGAAGTTCAACTCACTTGGGCTGCCAGGTCCTAGGTAAAGTAGCCAGACAGCGAAGTCCTCCCTCGGCCCAGATGGGATCTTGAATTCAGGCCATGTAAAGCAACAGGATCCACCAGCCCCAAGCTCAAGCAATGTACGCACCATGAGCGTGGTGAAGCAGGTCTCAAAGGAGCCTCAAGCCCTAGCAACACGATCCCCGGGTTGACCATCCCACAGGTGGTGTAGCTCACAGGTTGAGGAAGAGAACTAGTTAAAGCAGCAGCATGCTCCCGGACGCTCCAATCACCGGAGAGCAAGAGAGAAGGGGGCTGGCCTTGCAGAGTCATTTATCTCTTTGCCCTCCAATCAAACTGCAACCTAATTAATCCCACATGTTCCTATTGGCCATGCTGGCACAATAAACCTACCTATCACAACCATGGAATCAATGATGACTTGTGGGGACCCTATAGGACAGGGTGGAACGGCCCCTGAGGGTTTCTGAGACTGTCACTCTATACAGGAGCAAAAAGCCTCATCCTGCGCCCACAGAGCAGCTGGTGGTTTCAAACCATTGACCTCGAGGTCGGCAGCCCAACGTATAGGGATACTGTAATATTTTACATACTTCCCTTCTGGTTACTCTGTAGGGTGTTTCCAGCTCCAACTCGTATTGGAGATGGAAGGCTGAGCTCCCTGTCAACACGCAGCCACTCGCAGTCCCTTCAGCCGCCGCCACAGCCACCAGCCTCTTCCCGGTGATCCCGTCACCCCTCAGCTCCACCTCAGGCGTAGTTAGTTCTTCAAGGGCTCCCTGCTTGGAAGAGTGTGTCTTTGGTTAATCCAATCAGCTCATACCAGTGAGTTCTGCCGGCAGGCAGGAGGCCAGGCCCACCCATGGGGGAGAGGGAGACAAAGGAGAGAGCCACATAGCTACAGGCCCGGGACCCCAAAAATAGTTGGGAGCAACCAGCAGCTGAAATGGGTAAGGAGGGACCTCCCCACACCACCCCCTGCCCTGAATCCTGACTTCTAGCCTCCTGAGTGGGGAGAAAAGGAATCCCTGTTCTTTAAGGCTACCCACCACGGGTGTCTGGGTTACAGCAGACAAAAATACCTGTCATTGAGTACACTCAAACTCCCCGCTTTCTCCCGCACAGCAGCTGGTGGGCTTGAACTGCTGACTTTGTGGTTAACAGCCCCAATGCCTCACCCACAGTAGTACCAGGTAACTCAAGACACAGGAGAAATTCCCAAGATAAAAGAGACGCTCCTGCTGCTCAGGCCCAACCTCCTCCCTTCCCCACCCCTCTCTCCTGACTCAAGAACCGGCCCTGCCCCTGCCTCCATTGCTCTGTGGTAGGGGCCCTTGCCTGCCTCTGGCTGTGCAAACACGTGGCCTGGAAGGCCCTCCCAAGGGAGCAAACTTTGACTCCCTCCCCAGGTCTTCTGCGCCTCATCACAGCTGGGCTGGGGTCAGTTTCATCGCCCATCACCCTGCCCCATGGCACGCTTGTAGACAGTTCTTCAGGACAGGGGCGTCTTGGACTATAGTGCTGCCCGTTTCCATGGAGAGGGTGGCAATGAGTCAGGGTAGGCCCCGTAGCAGTGAGCTTCATGGTTGACTCCATCTACCCAAGTGGCATCTCTGGACCGGGAATTGGAAAGATTCCGTAGACACCATGGTGGTTACTCCCACCGTACAGACACGAGAAAAAATATACAGAGACAATCGGGAAAGAAACGAAATCAACTTGTGGACGTTCGATTTTAAATGAAATTTAGTGTGTAAGTTTTCATTGCTTCATTTTCAGAATAGCTGCCCTGAACCACTAGTTTACAAGATTGCTAGACATTGAACGGCCGGTGGCCATGAGCCGGGTGCCCGTTAAGGGCAGGGGTCTTGCCTACCTACAGTGTTTTCTGTGAAGGGCCAGGGAGAAGACGCAGGCCCCGCCTAAAACCGGACCTCTCTGCCATGCCATTTCAATGCAGCTTGTGGTCCAGAAGCCACCTGAGACAGTCCACCAATAAATGGGTGGCTCTTTTCCAGTAAAACTTTATTTATGGGCACAGGGCTTCAAACTTCCTAGTGATCATCACGCATCGCAGATGGGAGTTTGCCTTTTGAGATGAACCATTTGAAACTGTTCACAAGAGTCTAACTCCCACTCCCACCCCCTCAAAAAGCTTTTTCCGTCATGGGCCACACTAGCCTGTCCTTACTCGTGTGTGCCCACCCTTCCCTCTCTCGCTCACAGGGCTGACACACGTGTTTGTTGGGGGAGGGGAAGAAGGAAGGAGGGTCCAAGAAGGGAGGCTGAGGGAGATCGAGACATGCGGGGAGGGAGGGGGCACCAGTAGGAAACCACTCCTGGCTTCTCCAAGTCCCACGAGTTGCTCGTTCAGGCCCATGCTCTGGACATTCCTGAGTACAGAACAGAATCCTGGGTGGTGACATGTGAAAGGGACCTCGGAGATGGCTCAATGCCTTCTTTCCCCCCCGAGAAAAGATGATCAAGAAAGCCGGAGACCTTGGACTTGAAACACACTGATGGTCCTTCCCCCAGGAGTGTTTCCCCCACCCCAACCCCGCAGCCAGCTCACCACTCAGATTCCGTGCCGCTACAGGCAACATCACGTGCAATTTTTAAGGCAACATGTTTTTCTAATATGCCAAGGCAACCAAGGGTACTCTGAAATGCAAGTGAAAGATCTGAGGCATCTCCTCTCAATGATTAGTGATGAAATCTCATGCTTCTTCCAAGAATAGCTTCTACTAACTGCGTGTCTCAGGAAGGTGCGCCATCAAACGCAGCAGATGAGTGGTTGCCTAAGGCTACAGGGGGCGGGGGGAGTGGCTGGTCACGAAAATGCCAACTCAGGTAGTGGTGGTGGCTGCACACCCCTCGTTATAAGGAAAAGCACCAAGTTGGAAGCTCGACGCGAGGGGACTGCATGTGACTAGGGGAGGGCTGCATCACTATAGTCTTGACTTCGCAGGTGTGGAATAAGGCTAGGCGATGTGCCGTGGCATCCCCAAGGCCAGCCCCTCATGGATGGCGAGGCTGGTTCACACTTTTTTCAGGATGATGGAAATGCCAAGTCAGCCTGTTTCTGGGGGGGCGGGGGTGGGGTGGGGTGGCAATGGGCCTGCATGAAAAAGCAGGATTGGCTTACAACCTCCAGCATGATGATGAACTCAAGGTGAGGCCAGGCCAGCTCGATCCCACCCCATTCGCAGACCCTCCAAAGCTGTTTGTTCCTCTGCCTTGTTCCTAGTTCTCCAGCCCTGGAGCCACCCACCCGAGGAGGGCGGGGCAGCCACTGCCAAATTCAGTGAGCCCTAGGGCACAGTACTGTGTGTGTCCAAGACTGGAACTTTAGGAGTAGAAAGCCCCATCTGTGTGCCAAGGAGCAGCTAGTGGTTTAGAACTGCTGACCTTGCAGATCACAGAGGAACTCATAACCACACCACCAGGGCTACAGCCACTGCTCCAGCTCTCAGGAGACAGGGACCTGCTGGTTCATCTACCCCAGTGCCTGCTGCCAGAGAACGTGGTGCCATTGGGATTTCTCTTAAAGAGCCTGTCTTCCCTTAACTTCCCTTCCCAGCCATATTCCACCTGCCTGGTCTCGTGCCCAGCCTGTCACAGGGAAGAGGCTGTGGGACCCAAAGCGTGGGCAGTCGTGCAACCTTCTGGTCGCAAACAAGGCATCCCACTTGCCTCTGGTGGGACCACCCTGACAAAGCAGGGCAGCAAAGCTCCATGCCCAGAAGTGGGCATTCCCCAGGTGTGGCAAAAGGCAGGAGGCCCACCTTTCCCACTGAGCCTCTGCCCAAGCAGGACCCTTGGGGCGGGGGTTGTGCTGATGTAGATAAGCAGCTGGGCCACTCAGGAGCCAGCATCTGCCCAGGACCAGTGAAACCAACAGGAACTGTTGGGGGTGGGGTGGGCGGTAAGGCCATCATGTTTAGTTACTTGACAAGTGCTTTAGCCACAGTTCGTTAAATGAATTATCAAATGGGTGTAACACATTAGGGAGTGATTTGAGAACTGATAAGGTGGCGTGTAGCTCTTTCATGGTTTTATGAAGGCAGAGGCTGGGATTGAGCCCAGAAAGGAAATTTATAAGCAAAGGAGTGATTCATGCTACACCAAGGTCCACAGGTCAATTTGACAAGACAGAACAAATCAGAAGCAACTAACAAGCCTTTATGAACTACACTCATTTTTCTCTTCTTGTACCGAAATGCAGATTTATTACACTCAAGGAACCGATACAAACTTTATTTCAATCATTTAACACTGCGATGTTCACAGTAAACAACTGCTTCTTTAAGGCAGGACATGGAAGCTGAGTCAGCAAGATTTTTCAATTACATGAGGTGGAATCCTAGAATCTGATTCTAAGCTAACCCTGGACATGACACTGCAAGTGTTTTACATCTTAGTATGGCACACGCATGAGGAGCCACCATCTTCAGAAACAATAATTTAGATAGAAAAGGATCCCGCATTACAGGAACTAAGAAGGCGTCTATTTACACAATAAATGCTAAAGAAGGCGAGTACAACAGGCCAGTGGTCCAATGTCGCCCAGGAGTCCTTCTCCACTCCGCCCTGACTGCTCCATTCTGGGGGAAGGCAGAGGCAGATGCTTCAATACAAACCCTCTCAGGAGCTTCGTTTAGACTTCTGAAATAAAGCTTGAAGGGGCAGCCATCAGATTTAGCTAAACGTTAGAAATGCTTCTAATTAAGGATAGACTTCAAGCTAATACTGAGACTTATGTTTCAAAATATGAATTGGAGATCATTCTAACAGGACTCACAGGAAAAAGAAACGCCTACATTTCAAAAAGACCTGTCATCTTTTCGAACTAAGTGGAGCCAACATCAATAGTAGCTATTTACGTACAATCAAAAACTCAACTTCTAGGGGAGTCTCTTAGTACTAGCCTAAGAGATCTAAAGGATCGTCGATGGGTTATTTTTGTGAAAGATCGATTTGAAAAGCAGTTTACAATATTGCCTTAGATCCTAACCTAGAAGTTTGGGGTGGGGAGGTGCTGGAGACAATTGGACTGTAAAATTGTTAGCAAGATACTTGAATCCACGGAAGCCAGGTTTAAAAATAACATGCCTTGTTCATGCAGGTTTAACCCATTTTAGTCACCTAGTGAATTTTGAACTGACTCCCATTTATTTAGTGGTAAACAGGCTGCCTTGTTATGTCTTTGATGTAAAACCTAACAAAGCTAGGCTAACCCAGGCTTCAACCTTGACAGTAGGCTGTGTATCTGCAGGTAAAGTGCCAGTTTTATATACAAACTAATGATTCAACGAAGTAAACTTCAAAAATCTGCTTTGCGGCAGTGGCATCTGACATTTTCCGACTGACTTGCTGAATTCTGCTGGATCAAACGAAAACTAGCTTGAGGGGCGGGCTTCCTCCCCTAGAGCCAAGCTTGCTGCTGGTGGTGCTAGTGCCCATAAGTGGGCTGCAGCCACCCTGCTGGCAAAACCCAAACACGAACTCACAAGACCCCAGGAGCCTTTGTCTTAACATCCTGTCGTTTTAGGAGACACCACTTGTTTTGTTAAGAAGCAGGACTAGTTTGAGGTAGCTACACAGTTCCTAAGATGCCAATGATGAAGGCAGTTCTACTTGGGTGGGGTGGCGTCAATTCATGTTTCGCAGGTTGGTACACTCAGAGTAGCTGACCTTTTTGGGTGAAAGGGGGGGGGGAGTAGTGAGACGAAAGCACATCTTCAGAGTTCATCTAGAAGTCGGCATCCAAGGTAAAGGAATTCTCTGTCGGGCTTGACATCACTCCCATCCTCTGATACTCGCCTACTCTCTTCTCAAAGAAGTTCGTCTTCCCTTCCAGGGAAATGTTCTCCATAAAGTCAAATGGGTTTTCTACTTTGAACATCTGGAAAAGGTTCACATCAGAATGTAAGTATTCCGAAACACTAGTTTCAAAAGGA